GGGAAGGAAGTAGGCTTCAGCAGTGTGGTTCTGATAAATGAGCGGCTGCCATTATCAATGCCAGACAATGAAGTGACTCAATTACATGAAAGAAACTGTTGTCTTTTGTCATTCCGTTTTGAAATCAATCTTTGTACGCTTGTATTCCTCTAAGAGAGGTTACCGACACTTGTGATTACGGAGCCTTGCAGTAAAGTGGGAGGACCCTTCCACATGAAAAGCATCTTGGATGGCTTGTGATGAGAATGATCTAAGGGATGTCGGCTAGACTAAACATTGACCAGAGTGGATTTCAAACAGGGTGCTTTACAGGCAGCAGACAGGAGCTGGAAAGGTAGAAAATGAGTGGCTTTGTCAGATATCTAAAGCTGGATATATTGTGCCGTTTCCAAAAGGCCACATAAAACCATGACAATGCTCTTCCCTCCCGCAACCGCAAAGAAATCGATACCTGGGAGGAGGTACATCGACCGTTGCCAGCACCGAGCCTTTGTATCACATTCTCCTGTTTATTTGTTATTTCTTTAGTGTAGCGTCAGTGAGTTTTCCTTTTGTCATGAATGTCTTGAGCTTCTTCTCATCCCTTGGCTTTCATTTCCTCCAAATTCCTTTGCTTTGCTTCAGCCCACATTTGGAGCCTGGACTGGGATCACAGAGAACTTCCAAGGCAGCTCATGGAGAACACCTGTGTGTGCTTAAGTGCTGCCAGAGTACGCCATCTATTTGTTAATATGGTGCTATATGTACATGGACTCTTGAGCAACTACAGAGAAAATGTATTCGGAACATCTCACCAAAATCGCTTCCTCACTCTCGCTCCAGATTTCACATCCTCTCCCGCATCGGAGGCATTGAGAAAAGGGGCATTATGTGCCACAGCCTGACATGACGTTAATTCCTCTGAAGCCCTTCACATGTGCCGCCTCACTTTTTTTTTTTTTTTTGCCTCTGCGGATTACCCGCGGCTTTGGTACAGCTGAACAAACTTTTCAATGGGGGGAAATGTATTTGATTCCAGCATACATCGCAGTTATGTGTGGACGCCGCCACATTACGGTGATGAGGATTCCCCAAGGGGATGGGCATGCGTATTTCCGTGCAAGCTTCTGGCCTGCTCGCAGGCCGGCCGAGCTTAGCCGGCGGGTCCTTGAGGCTCCCCGGGGGAGCAAGCCTTCGCTGACATGGGAAGCCATAAATAAGGGCCTGGGGCGAAGCGCCGTGTCATGCGTCATTTGGGCCAGAGAGGCCTGCTTTATCCCCTCCCTTCATTGAGCTGCTTGAGCATGGCACCTCCTAGGGCGTAATTCAGAACATATGGGCAAAGGCCGAGGGCAGAAGCACATACCACACTCAAGCCTTGTCAGCGTAGCATCTCAGATGATACACAGATACGTCCCGAGACAGCCTTCATGATAAGAGAGTAGATATGCCCCTCTGGGGTTGAAAAATTCAAATAAAAACACTATATTCATTTCAATGTAATATGAACAGGCTTATTTCATGATAAACCGATTTCTTTTATGTATGTGTGTGTGAATGTGTGTGTGTGTGTCAAAAATACCATGAACCATTCACAAATATGC